ACCAGGCCTATATAGCATAGGAAAGTACCATTGCAATTTTATCTATGCCCCACCAGGAAAGGTGCTTTGAAACAGAAGTTTTGTTTTTGCTCTGCTATTGATAGCACCCAGGATGGTTATTTATCTAAGAGAAAAATCCCTGTATGCCAGAATTCTGTCCAATATCATATGTCTTAGCAAAAGATATGAGGATATTCCAAAAGAGAAGAGCAGGAGTGTTTGTTTCACTAAAGTGTTAAGTTTTTCAGTAGTGGAAGCTTGTCTTGATTCTCTGCAGGGACTTCAGCAGCTTTTCTGAAAGTGCTGATTTGAGCTATTGTAGCAAGTCAAGGGCTTTCCCTGAATACAAGGAGTGAAGTTAGACAACCAAAATGGTTCCATTCCATGCTGTAAAATAAGTCATTCTGGGAGATTCTTGTTAATACATAATCAGACAGTGCATTTAATACAGACTTTTCAATTTCTCAAATTACTCTTTTTAAATGTTTTCTCTTGCTTTTTTTCCTCACTTTTTTGTGGAAACAGATTCCTGATAGCTCAAATTCAAGCAGTCTGCTAAATCAGATAAATAACAGCGTATTTTATACATGTTTTTGGTTCCCAAGGAAACCAGGATTTGAACATATACCTGGCCTGAAATAAGTGAGCTTAACAGAGGGGAAAATAGCGTAGACACACACTGGGAATGTCAGTTGAAGAATGCTGCAAGGATTATTAAATTCTTAAAATTGTTGCTAACACATTCTGGGCAAACAAGGGAGATAACAAGCCCAGTGGTGCTGAAGATAGGTCACTGTTCAAATTCTGCTGTTATGATGCTTTTCATCTGAAATGGGCAAGCATGGTAAATTATTACCAACCTATTTTCTGCTGCCTGCACTTAATGCCATTTTACAGACAAGTAGTACAGTGGCTGTTTTTTTCATCTAGCACTCATGCACAGCACCAGATTATGGAGGAAAAACAGCTTGCTTTTTGCATAGTCTCTGAACTGCTTGCGTATGTTTATCATAATATATAACAAAATGCAGAGAGATATTGCCTTGAATAGTTACAAGCATAATATTATGGGTGCATCTTTCATAAACTGTATCTTGCTGCTCCATTTTTCTTCTGAGTAATTAGCCATAAGGTAAAGGAAGGAATAATTACAGGTATTGTAATGCTTATTCGTATTATACTTAGAACAGAAAATAGATTTAAAACAGTAAGTGCACTTCCCACAGTAGTTAGTCATATACAAAGGCCTGCAACTGAGATCCCTTTCTAGAAAAATCAGTCTAGTAGTCAGGACAGTCCTACCTTTATGCACTGTGGGACATAGGTGGTGATCCTCATTAACTACATAAAAAAGACCAATTCTTCCAGCTCCACTAGTGTCTTTGATGCATTTTGCCAGTTAGACACTAGTGTGGGGACCTGGATATCTTGGCTGACTACCTGTCAGTTACTGGAGGACAGGCCTGATTTACAGCCTCATGTGTTACTGGATAATAAGACCTGACTTAAAGCCTTATG